AGGCGTTTTGGGTACTGTCTCAGGTTCCTGCCCTTGGGTAGGAAAACACTTGTAAGGAGTGCTTGGACAGCTTTGGCACCTCAGTTAGTCCCACGAATAGGGGACTTCTGGGCTTTGAAAAAGTTTTGTCTCTGCCCAAGGACTTTAGTGCATGCTTGGGAAGTATCTTTTCCTCCTATTGGTAAACCTACAAAAACAGTACGTTTTCAATCCTTAGTAATTCCTTTCTCGGCCATCTTTTAAAAGAAAAAAATTCATTGATGCCTTTTGATTTTGACGCTGTAGTTATTTCTTGGTATAATTCTTCTGTTGCTCCCCCCAAACGGAATCTTCCCTTATAACAATGAAAAACAGATGAGCGAAACCAAATGACTACGTACGACAGCAGGTGGAACATCACATGCCCATAGTCCCCCGCCTCTCTACTGCCAGGAGGGCTATGGGCTACAAACCAAAGTTTCGGTCGAGGTTTTCCCACTTCTGCCACTCCCCTCACTAATTCTGCTGTCTTTAATATTCTTAACCATTTTTACAGCTTTAAAATACTTTATATGGCCCTTGGCTTCTGAGCCAATCAGTCAATCAACAAGCACTTATTAAGCAATCGGTATGATTCAGGCATTTTTCTAAGCGCTAGTGATTAATCGCTATTGCTCAGTCATGACTGACTCTTTGTGACTCCATTTGGGGTTTTCTTGACAGAGATACTGGAATGGTTTGCCATTTTCCTTCTCTAGCTCATTTTGCAGATGAGAAAATGGAGGCAAACAGGGTTAAGTGACTTGTCCAGAGTCACGCAGCTAATGAATCTGAAGTCAGATTTGAACTTAGGAAGATAAGTCTTCCTGACTCCAGGTCCACTATGCACTATAGCGCCACCTAGCTGTCCCCAGGCACTGGGGATACAAAGAAAGCAAACTGTTCCTACCTTCAAAGACCTCATATTCTAATGGGGAAAACAACATGCAAATAACTGTGTACACAATTGTGTACATATAGTGTAAATGGGAGGTAATCTTGGAGGAGAGGCGTCGTACAACAAACTGAGTGTTGAAGAAAGTCAGGAAGCCAGGACACAGGCATGAGAAAGGAGAACATCCCAGGCATGGCAGACAGTATTTGAAGAAAGTAAGACTACATCAGACTTTCTTAGAAAATGGATCACTGATATAGAGTAGGGAAGAATTTTAGAGGTTATCTAGTCCAATCCCTTCATTACATGTGTGAGAAAATTGACACCTGGGAAGACTGAATGATTTGTTGGAGGTCACACAAGTAGCAAATGTCAGAGGCAGGATTTGAACTCAGTTCCTCTAGATCCAGTCCTCTTTTTTTTTTTAAACTTGTCACTTAAAAAAAATATTTTATTTTATTTTTAATTTATGGAATAAAACAAGCATTTCTATAACAGCATAATTTTAAAAAAGATGACTGCACATAAAATTGTAAATCTATTATTATGTACAACTTTCTATTCCTTTTAAATATATAATAAAGTTATCATGTAAATTTCTCTCCCTCCCCCCTCTTTCTACTATATCATACTATTTCCCTTCTTGTAATAATATTTTTGTCCCCTTCAAATCATTTTTCCATTTGAGTCACAATACATAAGATTGGTATGGCCTTTTAGAAAATTGGGGGAGAAGATAATAATTAGACATAATGGAGCAAACGAAATATTTTAAAACTCCTCTGTATACTTTACTACATGATAGCAATGAATAATTTGCTACAGTTTATTAAGTGAGCCTTTCATTGAGTCGCAGTCTCTGTCACCTTGGCTGTGTGTCCAATTTATCCTTTATGAATAATTATCTTCTCTACTGTAATAAGATAAAGATTTCACAACCTGCAAGTTTTGCTTATGTCTCTGGGCTTCTTGGTCTACCTGATGTTGGTTTGTTTTTAATTCCATTGATTCCCAGTTGTAAATCAGTCCCTCAAACTCTGTTTCCTTTTATCCCTGAAATCTTGTTCCTCTGCACATACACACACCACTCCCTCCCCCATAATTACCTTGCTTCAGGCCACAAGAGTATGACATTTTTAATGTCTGAGGGCCTCCCACTCTCAGCACCTGTCAGCCTGATACATTTGGAGCGCTATGAGCTTGGAGCTTTGAGCACTTGGAAAAAGAGAGTGTGGGTGTGATGGAAAGGAGTCTTGAACAAAACCTAGGTTCTAGCCCCTACTAACTAGATGTGTAACCTTGGGCATATCACTTTATATTTCCTGACTTGTTTCCTTACCTATGGAATGAGAAGACTGACCTAGATGAACATTAAGGTCTCATCCAGTTCTAAATCCTATGAATAGGTGATCGCTTCTTAAGATAATGTGAATTGGAATGAACAACATTGACATTCTTTCTATTAAATATGCTATGTTCTATTTCACATCATCCCCTTTTCTGTAATACTAAGTAGGCCCCAGATCATAAAGGCCTATTTCCAGCTCTGATAAAGCCTACCACGCATCCATGTCTGTAACCCAACGAGCTATAACATGCCACTTACTTGATTCTCTGGAAATGCCTTAAACCAAAAATCAGTTGCAATTTAATTGCCATGGAAGATAATCTTTTAAACATATGCTTTAAATTCCATAAAGACTTTTCCCTCTAGGAATAAGAAAGTTTGTATGAACTTGGGGGCAGTTTACTTTCATTTCCAGAGGACAGAATGTTACCTAATAAATAGCATAAGAGCCTAGGCCGTGAAGGATTTTTTAAGTGTCTTCATTCCCAGGTATTAGTTGTCATCTATCAACTACCGATATTTTGTTTCAATGGGTTTTTAGTACTTTTCTTTCTATTCTTGGCTCAAACAGAGCACTGAATCTTGTAATGCTAACATTATAATTATTTTATATTCTTCAAGCATCCACATGGAGAGGGATGCTGTATGTAATCCAAATGGCACCTCTACGGGTTTCTAGTTAATGAAATTAGATGACACTAGCAGCATAAAAATGTCAATCCACAAAGACTTTGAGCTCAGAGTCAAAATGATCCGGACATTAGAATGCACAAGTCAGGCAGCCTAACTTGACCTAGCAAATCAATTCATTAACAAGTATGTAAGTGCCACCTATGTGCCAAGCTCTAGGCTAGGTGCTGAGGATTAAAAAATGAAAGTGATAGAGACTGCCCTCAAGGAGCTTATATTCAGTCAAGGGAGACATATGAAGTATATACAAAATACAGGGCATCACCAAAGTCTAAAAGGGCATTAAGACTTCGGGAATACCCTGTCCATACAAAATTAATTTTAGGTGATTTGGGAGAGGAAGCAGTTGGGGAAAGGAATCAGGAAGGACTTTAAGTAGAAGGTGGTGTCTGAGCTAAATTTTGAAAGAAACTAGGGATTCTAAGGTGACAGAGATGAAGAGAATGAATTCTAGGCAATTCTAGGCAGCCCATACAAAGAAACAGAAATGGGAGGTGGAGCAAGAAACAGCAAGTTTGCGGGGAATACAGAGTGCATGAAGGGAAGAAATATACAATAAGGTTGAAAAGGTAGTTTGGAGCCCAGCTGTGAAAGGTTAACTACGCCAAGCCCAGGAGTTTGTATTGGGTCTCAGGGGCAATAGGAGACTGCTGGTGCTCCTTGAAGAGGGGAATGAGATGGTCAGACTTAGAAAATCACTTCGGCAGCTGTGTGGAGGGTGGATGGGAGATGGGAGAGACTTGAGGCAAGAACATATTAACAGCAGTCCAGAAGACAGTTGACCAGTGTCTGAAGTAGAATGGTTGTAGTGTGAGTAGAGAGAAGGGGGAGAGATTTAGAGTGTGACAAGTCCTGGCAGTTGGTTAGATATGTATGGCGAGTGCAGACAGTGAGATGACTCTGAGGCTGTGAACCTTCATGACCATGAGGATAATGGAAAGAAAAGTTCACAGCTAACGTGAGCTCCTAAGAGACGATTTCACTGTTGTCTCAGTATCTCCAGCAAGGAGCACAGTACTTAGCAGAGTAGGGGGAAAGAACAGGAATAAGTTCTTTCTTCTCTTCCTTTCTTCCATCCTTCTTTCTCTTTCTTTCTTTCTTTCTCCCCTTCCTTTCTAATGGTACCTACCTCAAAGGGTTTTTGTGAGGATTAAATGAGATAATAATTGTAAATCACTTAGCATAATGTTTCATACATAGTTAATGCTATATATATGTCAGTGGTTATCATCATCATCATCACTATTATGATCATATGGCATCTACTATTGCTAAGCACTTTACAAACATTTCATTTGATCCTTACAACAACCCTTCCAGGTAGGTGCTGTTATTATCACCCCCATTTTATATATGGGGAAATTGAGACAGAGAAATTAAGTAATTTATCCAGGGTCACATAATTAAGTGTCTGAGACTGGATTCGAGCTCAGGTCTTCTTGACTCCAAACCCAGCACTTTGTCTGTTGCGTTACCTAGCTGCCTCTAGTAGACTCATTATTATAGTAGATTGATTATTATGGAGGCAGCACACAGTATCTCAGAAAGAATACTAGACTTAGCATCAGATGACCTGGATTCATTTATTTGTTCTTCCTTTTATCAGCTGTGTGGCCTTGGGAAATTCAATTAAATTTTATGAGCTTGAGTCTCCTCATCTGTAAAATGGGGTTAATACACAGGGTTATAGTGAGGACTGAATGAAATGTTGCATGTGAAGTGCGCTGTAATCATAAAACACATGTAAATGTCAATTGTCAATAGTGGTTAAGATTTCTGTATATTCTGTCCCTAAATAAACAACATTAAAAAAAACAATATAAAATGTCATCAGCTCTGGTTTTTGAATGAGCAGGTATCAGAATCTATGTGACTAAGTTTCTCTAGGTATTTCTGCCTTCCTCTTATGCCCATCCCGTTAAATGCAAACAGTCAGTGAGTGTTGGCTAATGGAAAGTTAATAGGTTGAGAGCTGTTGTCTTTGAAGAATTTGCTCACTGCTTTCTCGTTGCAAACAAGAAAAGAGCAACCATCCTGAAAGAAAACCTGGAAGACAGTAATCCAAGTATGTCTGCTTTAATTCTCCTTTCTAGGTGATAATGGAGAGAAAGCCTGGCCAAAGTCCTTCCCTTCCTGTGGAGGAATGTTCCAGTCTCCCATAGATTTTGACAGTGACATGCTTCAATATGATTCTACTCTCTCACCCTTAGTGTTAGAAGGTTACAATATGTCTTCTAATGAGCAGTTTATTCTGGGTAATAATGGACATTCAGGTAAGATGAAACCTGTGGAAAAGTCTCCCTCTCTCCCCACTTGATAACATAGTAGGCTGTACTGTAGGAACCAATGTAGCAAAGACTTTATACCACCTGAGTGGTTCTCTCCTTAGGGGAGAATAACTTATCATGGTCATTTCCCCAAGGGCAATGCTGGCTTCTTCCTTCCCTTTCCAACACACACACACACGCACACACGCACGCGCGCACACACACACACACACACACACACACACAACTCTCCAAAACCAGTTCTGCCATGGAGTCACACAATTTGAGACTAGTTGAACCTCTAGCAGTAAGTTGGGGGGGGGGGAAGCAAGCCAAATTGAAAGACCTTAAGAGTAAAAAATATCTAACAATATATATTCTTTGGGCAACTAGGTGGTATAGTGGATAGAGTGCCCAACCTGAAGTCAGGAAGACTCATCTTTCTGAGTTCAAATCCGCCCTTAGACACTTACTAGCTGGGCAAGTCACTTGACCCTGTTTGCCTTAGTTTCCTCATCTGTAAAATGAGCTAGAGAAGGAAATGGCAAGCTACTCCAGTATCTTTGCCAAGAAACCCCAAATGAGATCATGAAGAGTTAGGCATGACTGAAAGAACCAAGCAACTACCACCATCGCCACCCTACATACTCTGCCTTCATCCAGGGCCTTCAAAGTCTGAAAGCTGAGTCCTATGGCAAAGTTATCCCAGAAGCAGATCACAGCTTCTGAATCTAATCTCATAGTAGTGTTAGCAAAGTAACATGGTTTCTCCTTGGACATTAAGGTTTTTCACAAAAAAGTAACTATCAGCCTATCATTTGGGTAGTGGGTAGGATAGGTTAATGTTTGGTATGGAAGCAATGGTTGGCATGTAGAGGTTAGAGGTTGGCAGCTCTACCTGTATTCAACACTTTAGCCTGATCTTATATGCAGAGCTGAAGGTGTAGCTTAATTAGTTGGGCCCTGGGGCAGATGGCTACCAATGACTCAGTACCCAGTTGTCACTGTGGGGTTGGACCATATGGTCTCTCAGTGTCCCTTCTGATTCTAGATCTCTGATCTTATGAAATACCAGGGATTCATAAAAATCATCCAGTACAATGAGGACCTAGCAATCCTAATAACACAGAGAGCTGTGTCTTCACTCTAAACTCACAACCCTATTTCCTAGCACACAGCGCTCCAATGATGCGCTCAGTGTTCCATCTCCCTAAAACCTTAGTGGTCAGTCTACTCAGCAGAAGTATGCTGGGATTTGTTATATCTAACTTCCATGCAGTTACCACCACCTCTCACCATTCTTCCCTCATTCCCTCCTCCTTCAAGTGCTCCTACCAGATGCCTATGTTATTCGTGTCTGTGGTGCCTTTGCTCTGTTCAATAGAAGTGTGACTGCCCCACATCTCTACCAGCTTTGTTGCTTTGAACAAATGGTGTTTAAATGGTATAAACATGGGTCTCCTACCACTTTCAGTCAGAATTTCACCGGGAACTATACTAGGAATTGCAGACTGTCTCTGGGGGAAAATGCCTAGTGTAGAGCATTTGTATCACCTAGTTATACTGGTAACAGCATCAGTAACAAGAGACTTGCTTCTACTTCTCAGCCACTCAGCTCAGATGACTTACTGATACCAGGTCCTGGCTCCTACTGACAACCTGAGATGCCTAATGATAGTAAAGGTTAATTAACCAGATGCCTAACTGAGAGCACATTATTTTACTGAGATGCTAAATACATAGATTAATAATCCCTTTTAAATTCTCCTATGAAGTAGGTTCACCATCATCAAAAGCATTTTACAAATGGAAAAACTCAGACCCTGAGGGTTTACAGAGTTTGGCAATCCTACCAGAGTAAGAAGAAGCCAAGGACTCTGATTCCCAAATCTCTTTTATCTCTACTTATCTGGGTCACTGAGTTTTCTTATCTCATTATTTTTAAACCCCTGTTCCCTGCACTGATACTAATGAATCTACTGCTTTTTTCTCACAGTGAAATTAGATCTGCCTCCAAATATGTACATTAAAAGCCTGGGTCCCAGATATACAGCAACAGAACTTCACCTGCACTGGGGCAATCAGAATAATCCCCGTGGCTCCGAACACACAGTTGATGGGAACCACTTTGCAGCTGAGGTAAGTGGAGTGGGAGGGAAGATTGAGGCCAGCACTCAGGTTGTCCCTGATGCTGGTCTGGAACTGCATCTGGCCTCTGATGGGCACACGCTTAGGGGGTTAATGGTTGTGCTTATTGGAGGCATACCGTTCAAATGTTAATGCTATTTACCCCTATACTGCCTGGTTATGTGAATGATAAGTAGGTCTTGGGCAGCAGTCAAGCTACAGTTGATGGGTTGGAGGTATCTGAAAATTCACTCTATTTCTCCCTCACCCATCCCCAATTAAGCTAAAATACTCTAGCGAATGTGCTGGGAGCCTGTCCTGAAGCCTTCACGTGACTAATTAAAAATTAGGTTAGGATGAAAGGAGGATACACCATCATACAGACAAAAACATTAGCTTCTCTTCATTTTAATTACTTTGAACTACATTTACTATTTAAATAAATTACTCAGGGTGAATACTTCACGGAGGTTTGTGATTTGCCCATTTCCCAGAAGGACAATAGAGACATGTAACAATCTTCCAAGGTGTCCAGAGAGGGCAGAACTACTTCAGAGAATGTGGAGGCAGGTTGTCCACATTTTATTATCTCCATCTCAAAGATGAGGATACAGAGGCAAAGAGAGATTAAGCGATACATCTAGTAATGGTCAGATCCACTATCCAGGCTTCTGGCTCCCAACCAAAGTCAGTCAACTAGCATTTATTAAGCACCTACTAAGTGCAGGGCACCATGCTGAGCACCAGGGATACAAAGAAAGGCTAAAAAAAAAATTACTGCCCTCAAAGAGCTTATGGTCTAATGAGGTGCTCTTTCCACTACTTCCTACTGTCCCTCCCTCCAAACTCAGAAGCCCCGAGTTCAAATCTCACCTCTGCTACTTACTGCTTGTGCGGTCTTGAACAAGTCTCTCTGAGTCTCAGTATCCTTATGTAAAATAAGGGGTTTAGACAAAATGACCTCTAAGGTACCTTCCAGTTCAAAGTCTATAATATTCCATTGAAAATGGCGATGAACTCCTAATATCATCACATTAGATACTAATAGTCCCCATAACCTCTATATTCCACAATTCTGTAGCATCATGAAAATTAGCCTCCCCTGCCAGGAATTATTATTATGCCAGACCTGTTCAGGAGTGTGCTGTTACTCCTTTTATTGGAGCCTTAGTGATATAGAACGGGAGAATGGGTTGGGGTGAACCCCACCTGTTTTACTCCCTAATCCTTACTTTACCACAACAGACTCTTAGAAGATAATAATGAACAGTATCAGAATATCAAAGGGAACAACACAAAACTACCTTAAACTTTGGTAGAGGGAGTCATGTTTTCTGCTTAAAGATCTGCTGAGAGGTAGCTCAGAGCTGTAACATACCACCCTGTATTAGGTCGCACTGTGTAACCCTGGTGTGCAAATCCACAATGTCAGCAGAGAATGGGAGCAGGGGCAGAGCATTATTCCTTTAGTGATAACTGTGTAATTGTTGGCTTTTCACTCCACTTTTTAGTTCCTACAAGCCAGAGCACAGGGGAACAGTTGCGAATGTTTATAGTGCAATACAAGGGGTAAATACCACAGATCAGGCAACGGATTCTACAGTGAATAATTATGTGTTGATTCTCCACTATTCATAACCGCTAAATGGTTTCATGTCTCAGGCTAATTATAGGGCTACTTACAAGTGAGGTGGGGTATAATTCTGGACCTGATGTATGATGGTACTATTAGAAGCTCACACAATTTCATGCCCCTTTCTGAATCTCATAGGCTGCAATTATTTCGGCTAATTGTTGAGTCGAGACTTCCCTTCCTCCAGGGAATATAAGGAAGCTAGGGTACAGGTAGGAATTAGGGTTTAGGCAGCTGTAGATCACTCTAGTTGCTTTTCTTTCTGCTATGAAGGCTCAAGTTATTATATCTTATATCTGGGTGTGTATATGTGTGTATGCATATGTCTGTATATGTGTGTGTGTGTGTGTGTGTGTGTGTGTGTGTGTATGAAGAAATAGTTTTCTAAAAAGAAGCATTGTAGTGTAATAGGAACATGACTGGCTTTGGAGTCAGGAGAAGTGGGTTCAAATCCTGGATGGGACACTCACTAGTCAAGTGCCAAGTGACCCTGGTCAAGTTATTTTCTCTATATCGAAGTTTCCTTATATGTAAAATGAAGGTAATAATTCTTATGCTACTTTCCCTTATAGAGTTTTTGTAAGACACTACTTACAAAAAATTTAAGTAAAGTAAAAAATGTAATTGGGGTTGGAGCTGAGTCATTGTGATAGCTAAAGATAACAAATATATACCTAATTGTAAGGAGATTTGATTCTTTTTAAAATTATTATTTTTAGGCAGTTGGGGTTAGGTGACTTGCCCAGGGTCACACAGCTAGTAAGTGTTAAGTGTTGGATATGAGGCCAGATTTGAACTCAGGTCCTTCTGACTTCAGGGCCAGTGCTCTACACACTGCATCACCTAGCTGCCCCAGGAGATTTGATTCTTAATCACCTTTCTGAGTAGAAAACAAGTCTCGAAAATATTTAATTTTAATTAAGTGAAATGCCAAGTTATCTCTCATGACCAGGATTATCTTTTTTAAAGTACCTTTAAAAGGGCTCAAAAACTTGGTAAAATGTGTCTAGAAGACCGTAAGTGTCCTTGTGATGCCAACATCCTAAGGCACAGAAGGGGTGAAGTTATGGTCCCTCTCATCTCTTTGCCCCTAGATTGTTGTTTTAGGAAAGGTCATATTGACGATATGGAGTTAAAGAGTATATTTTATCCCTGAGATGACTGAGGAAACTACCTTGGTCTAGAAATTAGGTCCGTATTTGTGTGACCAAAAAAATAACAAATAAACACTAATTAAGCATGTCGAGATTTTGTTATATGTTAACCTGAAAGACAGATTGATTTATCCTAAAAAGGAACCTACAGACTAAAAGTCTGCTCTATTTAACTCTCTCAATTACAAGCTTTTTTTTTTTCTGGCAGCATATGATTAGATTAAGAGAATTAAGTATCAGGGCAGCTGGGTGGCACAATGGATAGAGCACCGGCCCTGAAGTCAGGAGGACCTGAGTTCAAATCTGACCTCAGACCAAACACTTGACACACTTACTAGCTGTGTGACCCTGGGCAAGTCACTTAACCCCAACTGCCTAAAAAGCAAAAAAAAAAAAAGTATCAAGGAAGACACCATAGGAACACCACCCACTGGGATACTGGAAAATGGGCAAAAATGTTGTAAATAACATATAACACAAGGAACATTTTCTGGAAGAAGCTCTTGGGTTGAGACCCACAGTTTAAGAAGCACTAAAAGGGTCAAGAATGGAAAAAGTTTAAGATCTGCTCTACACTATTAGATATAATCTGCATTGTACAATGTCAAACATGCTTCCTGCCGCAGTGCCTTTCCTCTAAGATCATCTTCCATTTACCCTGTGTCTGTGTGTATGTGTGCATGCATATATACATATGTATATATATATATATATTAGACATACACACACATATACACATATTTTATATATATATACATATATATATATATTATATATATATATATATACACATATGTATTTTGTACACAGTTATTTGTATATTGTCTCCCCCATTAGACTGTAAGCTCCTTAAGGGCAGGAACTGGTTTTGCCTTTCTTTTATTTCTATCACCTAGCATAGTACCTGGCACAGAGTAGTAGAGACATCTGCTGAACTGACTAACCTTAAAGGACGCTACAAATGTGAGTTATTCTTTATGGCAATTCCTTAAGAGAAAAACTAAGCTTCATGATCAAATTCAAATAAAGATTATTTATAAAATTAAAAAATCTTGATGCCTGTAGCAGATTCTCAAATAAACTCCAGATCTTATCTAAACATCATTAATATTAAATTATAGGCTTACTAAGCCACCCATGAAAGGGCACAGAACCCAAGACTAACCAGAGCAGAGTCTCAATTTAAAAAAAAAAATCAGGAAGTAAGCCTAATGAAGGAATCAAACCCAAATAAATTTAATATTATTTGTTAACTTTTTCTGTTTCTTTTTAACAAGACTTTCTTGTCTTCTTTGATTTTCATGGACCCTATAGTAGTATTCAACCCAGAGTATAATTGCTGCAGACAGAAGCTTGTGTTTCTTAGCCCAGTGAGCCAAAGCAGTCAGAATTCCGTTTTGTCAATCAAGAAGAAACAGGGCTGAGCTGGTCTAGGGGTTTGCCACAAGCTAGGTCTTTCGCAGGGGAGGTAGTTGTGGGGAAGAACTCCTAGGCTGAGTGGAAAGCCACTTTTCTCTTGAGTAGCTGACCCATGGAAAAAAGTTAATTAGGGCTACATATTTTTTTTAAAGTTTCTTTTTTTTTTTTCCAAATTTGGGGAGGATCAGGTCAAATGTTCTCAAAGACTCATAGACTATCAGAGCCAGAAGGTATCTTAGGGATCTTTTAGTCCAACCCTTTTCTAATAATAATAATAACAATAATAGCTAGCACTTATATAGCACTTTAAGGTTTGCAAAGTTCTCTGCATACCTTATCTCATTTGATCCTCAACACAATTTTGTGAGATAGGCACTATTATTATAGCTATATTATTTATATATATAACATATATAAGTATCATTATGTATTATATTAATTATATAGTAACATATTAGTATATTTTGTTAATGTAGCTATTGATATATATTATGACTTTATTATTATAGCCATTTAACAGACGAGGAGACTAAGGTCAGTCAACAAGTATTCACTAAATGATTACATTCTATAGGGCCAGGCACTGTACGAAGTACCTTAAGATACAAAGAAAGGCAGGCCAGTGGCTGCTCTCAAGGAGCTTGAGAGACAAACCTGTAAACAACTAGGCACAAACAAGATATATGTATATATGGATAAACTGGAGATAATCAGCAGGAGGAATGCGGGAATTAAAGGCGATTGTTAATAGGGAGAGTCACCCAGCTAATAAGTGTGAGGTGGGATTCAAGCTCAGGTCTTCCTGACTCCAAGGATGATATTCACTATACCACCTAGCTCTTTCATGTTCTGTTTATCCAGGTTTAAAATTTAAAGCAAGAAATATTATATTTACTGAATGTAACCTTTACACACACATTAAATTTCTGTATTAGAGTCAATTATGGTGAGATACAGAGAGGAGAAAGGGTGGTAGGGAAAGAAAGACTGAGAGACACAGTTTCAATGTTTGCCAAAGCCTTAACAGACAGAGATCTAAATAAATTTACTAATACTAATTTTTGTGGAAAATAATCATGATAATTGTGAATAAAATGCAGCCACAAAGAGGATAAAATTCTCAGAATGTGCTATAAAAATATCTTTTGCTTATTTTAAAGGGAAAAAAATTTTCTCCCCTGGAAATTAGAGAATGTTGTAGTTTATAGAGAAAAATATCTTTTTTTCATGGAGTAATATTCTGTTTCTGTGGAATCTTAGAAAATTGTTGATAAAGCCTTTTAAATTCTTTTAAAACCATGTTTTCATAGCTTACAGGCAAATACTGGCTTTGTAGGTTGAATGAAAATAAGCTGGTGCTTGGAGGGTTCTCATTTCAGACCTTGAGCATCTCTAGATTAAGCGGTATTTAGGAGTAACTGAGCTTAAGGGGACTACATAATAAACACAGACTTGCCATGGGATCAAGACTGTCTAGTCATAGCCTGAAGAAAGGAATGGAATTTCTCTAAAATAGTTGAGCTTTTCCATGACTTTTTACAGGAACGAAAGTTGTGTATTCCTTTGACACTGATATTTGGGCCTTTTCTCTCCATTATAGTTACATATTGTCCATTATAACTCGGACAAATACCCCGATATGTCCACAGCCAGGGAGAAATCAGACGGACTAGCTGTTCTGGCTGTGCTGATTGAGGTAAGAGGTTCACTGGTCCCCTCCCCCTCCGTCTTTTGGTTTAAAGGGTTCCGAATGCGATTTCAAATATGAATCAGAGCTGGAATTTGGCAGTTTTGTCCCTGGACTCCTACTTCAAAGGTTCAGCTGGCGGCGTTGTGTGTTCTTCACATAAAAAAGGCCTTTGTGATATAGTGTGCTTTTTCTAGCAGATTCCCTCAGTTTGGAAGTAATGTTTTCTTTCTTCATGGGGGAGGAGGAGGGCCTACAGTAATGATGATATCCTTTTATACTGGGGTGGGGGGGAAAGAATAAATATAACTTTACCTAGAGCTCTTAAATAGGACATTTTTAGATGAACTTTTGTTCTTAACACAGCCCTTCAAATTCTGGGTTAGATTTTCTTTTGGTTGCCATTTTTACAATGTTATAGCAAAATAAAGCAGTATAATTTAGCACTGAGTACAATGCTTCTGAAACTCAGAGGCCGTGACTTGTGAAGGGATGCAGAATGTCAGGAACTCAGTGACAGTGCTCTAATAACAGAACAATCTCACATGATTTCCCCAGTTGTTCTATCAAAGTGGATCTTTCAAATCAAGGCTGATAAGAAAAAGCTAAATGGATATTGCTTGCTAATGACTGAGCTTCCTCTGATCCAGCAGTAATTAACCTGTGGTCCATTGACATATTTAAAAACATCTATATTTGGATAACTATTTCAACACGATTGGTTTTATGTATGATCTTATGTGTTTTATTGTGCATTTAAAAACCCTATTCTAAGAAGAGGTCTTCAGGGGCTTTACCAGATGCCAAAGGGGTCCATGATACAAAAAAAGGTTAAGAATTTGATTATTCAAACTACCACAATTGGAATCTCCCTTAGTCCAAGTAGCTCAACCATGTCCTACGTGTTGCAGATGGGTTCCTTTAGTCCTTCCTATGACAACATCTTCAGCTACCTTCAAGATGTTAAGTACAAAGGTAAGTGGCCAAAGGGTCCCTTGTTTGATCCTTCAGTCTTTTCTGGGGGCAGGATTCAACCACTTCTATATGACAAAGAAAAATACAGGTGGTGGTGTCCACGGTCAGAAGCTTGTAGAAATGATATGAGAAACAGCTGGTCCCTGCCTACCTTCAAAGGGCTCACATTCTAAGGAGAGAAGGTTAACGCTTGAAGAAGAGCTGGAAAGAGGATGGGGCCACAATAGTTTTATGTGGAGATGGCAGAGGAAGGACATAGAGGCCTAATTCCTGACAAGGTAAAAGCTCTCCTGTCAGGGTCTGGCAAGAAAAAAGCTTGCCTGGCAGAAATGGGGACAGAGTCCAATGTTGTGGAGAGGAGGCGAAGTCTGTAGGCTGGGCAGCAAGGCAATGGGAAGTGTGTGAGATATTGTGAAGGGAGGCAGTGACACAGCAGAGAATACAGCGTTGGTGTCAGACTCAAATAGCAACAGGGACCTGCAGGCCACATAATGACATTATCTGTTTTATTATATTTATTTTGTTAAATATTTCCCAATTACATTTTAATCTGGTTTGGGACAAACCTGGGAGGGTTGAGGCCACTTGTGACCTTGTGGCCTTCTGGCCTTGGTGTTCGAAACCTCTGGTGTAGAAGTGTGCTAGAATCAGAGTCAGGAACACCTGGGTTTAACTCCAGCTCAGACAATTATTAGCTGTGTCACTCTGGGCAAGTCACCTAACCTCTGTGAATCTCAGTTTCCCCATCTGTAAACTGGAGATAATAATAGTACCTATTCCACAGGGCTGTTATAAGGATCAAATGATATAATTTGCAAGTGCTGTATAAACGTCAGCTATTATTATGAAGTCAGTGGTAAATTTGTGGAGTGGTCAACAGTGATAGAGCAGCTTTAGGGTGGTAGACACAGAAATATGCTTAGGGTTCTTATCAGAAGAACATTTCTATGCATTACAAAGATGCCAATATCACTTCCTCCTCCTCCTCCCCTCCCCCTCCCATTTTGTTTCTTTCAGATCAGAAAATTCAAATTCCAGGTTTTAATATCCAAGACCTTCTTCCTCAGAACCTAAATGAATACTACCGCTACCAAGGTTCTCTCACCACTCCTCCTTGTTTCCCCAGCGTGCTCTGGACAGTTTTCCGAAACCCTGTCCAAATCTCCCAGGACCAGGTAACTTAGGAGCTACTTGGGAGCCTGTCATTTGGATAAGTCGAAGAAAACCATAAGAAAATCAGAGGCAAAGCATGCCCCTCTTATTTCCTACATAAAAGTGGTATTGGAAGGGGAGATACCAAGAAGAGTGAGAATCACAAATGCTTACCACAACAGGTCTTGAAAAATGATCATAAGAAAGTGGGAAGGAATATAGAACAGAGAAGGCCCAGCAGTCCTTACCCTCCAAGGGCCCTGCCTTGCCTCTTTATTTACTTAAACATTACTCAATACATAACTCATGTCAGTGGAGTGAATGTGACCTCTTTCACAGGAGAAAGTAAAAGGCTAGCCATTCCTGTAGGCAGGTTTTGGATTAAAGTTAAGGATAGGATTAGTTTAGGTCAACCGTTGCCTTCTTGAACAAAATAAAAGGTAGTAAAGCTCAGGAAAATAAGTGGACCCCTCTTTATCAGGGAGTTCAGTGGTCTAGAGGATAGAAAGCTGGCCTTAGCATCTGAAAGACCCGAGTTCAAATCCTGTTTCAGACACTTACTGGCTCATTTAACTGTTCTCAGCCTTGGTTTCTTCATCTGTAAATGGGGACAATAATATTATACTTTCACAGAGTTGTTGTGACAGCCAAATGAGGTAACTTATATAAAACACTTTGCCTACCTTAAAGCACTATATAAATATTAGTTTTCACAATTTGCAAAGATATCACTGGGTCATCTTTTTCATATTCTTATCTTTCTCCTGGTTCATTGCCTCTTCTCTGCTGTAGGCTTCTGGTGCAAGTGGTTTACATCAATGGGTAATAAACATTCATTGAATAAACTTGGTTGGCAGGAAGGAATAAAGAAAAAAAATAAATGATTTATGTAGTGAAATATTAATTTAGCAACTCAAAACTGATTTGAAAGAGGTTGCATAATTCTTTTTTTTTTTTTTTTTTTGGTGTGGCGATTGGGGGTAAGTGACTTGCCCAGGGTCACACAGCTAGTAAGTGTTAAGTGTCTGAGGCTGGATTTGAACTCAGGTTTTCCTGACTCCCAGGCCAGAGCTCTATTCACTGAGCCATCTAGCTGCCCCTGTATAATTTTCATGGGTTCATGAAATCATATACAAATAATAGGCAAAAAACTCGTGCCTAGTGGTATGCTAGTAAATGTTTAACAAATGGTTCTCAAAAAAAGTGTGGGGGCAGTTAGGCGGCACAATGAATAGAGCTCTGGCATTGGAGTCAGGAGGACCTGAGTTCAAATCCAGCCTCAGACACTTAACACTTACTAGCTGTGTGACCCTGGACTAGTCACTTAATCCCAATCGCCTCACCAAAAAGAAAAAAAAATGTGACATACTTTTAAATTTAATCTGCATTATTTATGTCTTTTCCATTTACTTTTTTAACTCTAGACATTTAACAAAACAATAAATCAAGCCTTGATGTATAGCATTTGCCAATTTCCAAGCTGTAAATGCTCACACTGAAAATTTAAACACTGCTTCTCAGTTGCAGCTGGCTCCAGCACACATCTGCTTGAGCCCCTCCTAATTATTTCGTATAATTTAATGTGGTTTTGGGAAAAACCTACTAGGAACAGATTTATCTCATCTACAGCTTTTTGTTACAGTTCTGGATTTTCTGCCCTCAATATAGGTAAAGTAGAAGACCTAAATCTGAATCCTGCCTTAGATGGTTAACCAGCTATATGACCCTGGGAAAATCAGTAAATCTAGTTGGTCCTCAGTTTCCTTATCTGTAAAATGAGACGGTTGGACTTGATGACCTCTGTCGTCCCTATTAGATCTAAATCCATGCACCTCAATGACCTATGACCCTAAAACCAAAATATATTCCTCCACGTCACCTAAAACCATCCATAGTCAGGTCTGATTTCAACTATAACAAAGAAATATTTTTAAAGAATCAATTCTTCTTGGGACATACAGTGGAGATGAGGAAACAAGTAGAATACTGAATCAATAATTATTTTTGGTAAGATGGAAGGACAGCCAAATGTAGAGGGGCTGAAACAGCCATGTGATTTCCTCGAGTGAAAAATGCTCACTTTTGAATTGATCTTCCACAATACACTGTAACTTGTGTAGCAAGCTGTTTTCCTGAGCCTCTCAGGGGCTAAGAACTGCCACCCTTCTGAATGAAACCCAGGGTTCAAGCCTGGTGCATTTGCACAAGACTTTCCTCACTGGTAGAAAAAAAAATGATTACTCAGAATGCTCCATGTCTATGTAAAGGGTAGAGTTAGCAAGAGCTTGGGAGAGTAGATATCCTTCTTGTTTCTGATTTCCAGCTCTGAAAGAGGACACCCATGTACACACCAGTGCAACTGGTATCACACTTCACCCAACAGAAGAAAAGCCTGAGTCACTTTGCTTCTTGCACCTCATAGTAGCAGTAGAAGTTGAGAATGTGTGTCTCTACTCCCTCACAGCTGCTGGCTCTGGAGACAGCTCTGTATTGCACCCATATAGATGACCCCTCACCTCAGGAACTGGTCAACAACTTCCGAGAAGTCCAAAAGTTTGATGAAAGGCTTGTACATGTCTCCTTCCACCAAGGTAAGGGGATGCAGCCCTTTTTTGGTGGGGGAGGGAAGGAAGGGAGAGTGATGGAGAGACCTCTATGAACCAGGGAGGCAAAGGACCTATTATTTCCACAGCTGTCTGACCTCAGAAGTTGAGATAAAAAACACTAGGAGTGGCTCAGAAGACTTGTGTACCTTGACAAACAATTTTGTGAGGTCTTAGAAAGCTTTGATATCTCTCGATTGCCCACTTTCCAGCTGGTGTTAATGGAGCATAAATCAGGAATTCCAAGTAAATGGCTCAGGACCTCAGGCCCTTATTAACTCAGAAAGACTTTTCGTGGGTCAGTCAGAATGGAGCCCTTCTAGGATTGCCCCTCATCTCTAGGGCTGGCCTTGAAGTCATAATTCTGCCATGGAAAGTCAAGGAATTCTTTTAATTCCTGAGATACTCAATGAAATAAAGGCCAACTTTTGATGTGAGATTCTTGTTTTTCTGCCTCACATGCCCTTCTGCCGCTGCCACCACCAGCTGAGGTTTAGCGTCATTTTCTCCACAATTTGTGTTCATGTGCTCAAGTGCACTTGGTACTAGATTATTGACAAGAACCAGAGTGCTTTCCCTTAGCAAAGATGTTAGTAATATTTAGTACGGTCCTCCAAACCAACGAGGCTCATTATTTGCTGCTCTCTTACCAAATTTCCTTGGAGTTCCTTCACAAGCACAAGCATACTTAAACATATATATCTAAACTCAAGGAAGCTTTTACTTCTGATGCCATAATAAAGAGGAGTTGGTTTTTCCTTTTAGCCATGATGTCCAAGCTTGATGGAAAAAAATCTAACACCAAGAGTTCTTTAGCCTTTTTTTGGTGTCCTGGAGAACCCTTTTCACAATGTTTTTTCAATGCATAAAATAAGAATCCACAAAATTACAAAGGAAAGCAATTCTTTTGAAATGCAGTGATCAAAATATTAAGAAAAATACAAGTTCATGGATCCTAGGTTAAGAATCCCTGCCCTCTCTGGAACTATCCTCCTCCCTGCCTCACATCCTGCAGCTTCTGAGAGAACATTGATGAAATTAAGTCCTTCCTCTGATGTGCTACAGCAGAGAAATGTATTTTTTGAAGGATGTTCTTTATGCTACCTCAGATTTTAAAGGTAATTTTTGTCAGAATCTAGTTTCCATTTGTCTGTTACAGACAAGACCTCTGTGTTTCTGCTCCCAAATGTCACTCCTGACTCTTCTTTCTAGCTGGATCTATCTCATATAAAGTGACGCACCAACATAAAAGATTACACTCTCTCTTTTAAAGTGGAGTTTACCATTTATAACCATCTCCCCTCCCTTGGTGCCTAAAGCTGTGGGCTCAGGTCTTCCTGGGGCTCGCATCTCTTTTTGCCATCTCCCTCCCTAACTGAAGATATGGATGATTCTCATTTTCTTTCCAACTCCCTTTTCAATCTCTTGTGGAATAGTGGAGCTTTCCTGAATATACAAAGAAGACACTATCTATCCTTTGTCAGAAGACAGGCCTCTCTTTTTAGACTTAACATAGTTCTCACTCGGCAGCGGTCTTTTCTTTGACGCCAAGATGATAACATTTACATATTGGGTTTAATTGAACAGATGAGGATTTTTTTCAAAAAACACTTTCTGGAAAATGTTCTAAAATAAGAGCTTTGGGATCTATCTGAATATATTCTGTTTAATCAATTGCATTTTTGTTCTGTTTAAGGTATATTGAGAAAATCTATTTTTGTTTCCTAAGAGGCAGGCGAAGTACCTGTGTGCTAGTTTCTTAAGTTCTCATCTCTGTAACCTCAGGCAATTATATTCTCCTCTTTGTTCCTCCATTGGAAAACTCCATCTACCAACATTAATGGCTCCTAAGAAAGTGAGTCTGCATCATAATGACAGCGTTTGGGGTCCTTTGGGAAATTGAAAGGGCTTTATTTGCCTGGCATTAGCTCCTGCAAGGATATGACTCCTTTTCCATTTTTAAAAAATGAATGATACTTCATTAAGTGTCTGTAAGTGTTAAAACTTGACTTACTTTTTAATTAAGTAAAAACTAAAATTTTTCCTTGAGATAGGGAAATATACCAAGCTAGATGAAATAGGGTCCTGGTAAATTATTTTTTGAACCAACAGTAGATACTTGAACCAATATAAACTACTTTATCTTCCTTGCCCCCATAGGAAACTTCCCCCTCCCCCCAGATGTCTTCCATTTGAACCACATGTGGGTAGGCAAAGTGGATATTTATGAATCCAAACCTGATTTTACATTGCAGGGTCACTCTATGAGGGCAAATACAGAGGATCAGAAGAAAGCTTGCAGGACTTTGGGTTTGCCATCTAAATGTAACCACTACTCTGTAATGCTGAATTGATGTATTGAGAAAAATTAGCCATCTTCTTAGACCTGACCCAGGTCTAAGGTCATTGCTTCAGACGCAGGCAGAATTGTCAGGCTTGCTAGAAAGTGCTTTGGTATCCTATTCTGGCTCTGCTGGGTGACTCTATTACAGAGGTGGAAGCCCCAAGGAGTCAGATTTGCTCTTGAGAACAGCAGAAAAATGAAGGTCTCAACATAGCTTTGCCAATTTTGCTAATGCATAGCTCAGCTGTGAATGCTGCTTCAGAAAACCCAGGCTGGTTCTAAACTCTCTTTGGATGGAAACTGACCATCCAGGACAGTGGAAGGTGGATTATAGAAACTTGGCCAGACACTCCATTCTCCCAGTATTCTGATTTTTAAAAACAGAGTTAGGAGAAGGGCTATTTTTCCAGTATTTATCAGGAAGCAGTATCAGAAATATGACATCCAAGACTTGTTGAAAGCTGCTCATATTCAGGAGTCTCCCTATCAGTGCAGTTAACATCAACAAGTCCCCATGCAATTTTAGGTTTATGGTACAAATCTACTTATAGAAATGTATTACAAACTATTAGAGTTCAGCAGCCTGGACCATTAAACCTAGAACTATTTTATTTAAATATTAAATATTAAGTAAAATATTCAATATTCATTTAAATTACTAAGTAAGAGCTCTAGGCCCTAGAAACAGCTAGAGTGAGAGTTATCAGTCATTAAGGGCAGTCCCTAGAAGAGGGAGAGTTAATTATTTTTGTTTGTGTTTTTTTAATTCAAAGAAGGAGAAAGCTGAAGGGCTAGTGTAGAAATTAATTAATCAACAAGGGCTCACAAGGTACCCAGCTCTAATTGGTTCAATTGAGGATACAGAAGTAGGAGATGTGATAAACTTGACCTCCAGAAGCTTACAACCTGCAGTTTAATTTGGGGGCTTGTTTATAAATTGGCTTCCTAGGACTCATTTTTAAAAATTTTCAGCTACAAGGAGCCAACCAAATATCATACAAAAAATTGAGAATTTTCCATGATATGCATGGACACTTACTGCGTCTGTGACACGAAATCAAGAGTCTGATAATATTGACCATTCAATCACTCACCAAGTATTTCTTAAGTGCTTACTATGTGCCAAGCACTATGCTAGGTGCTGAAAACAACGAGAAAGATTGAAGCAATTTTTAAAAATATAGGTGGAGAAGACTGTGGAGATAAAGAGATAGTAAGAAGAGATTCAGCCCATAGAACCTTGAGACAAATGGGTAACACAGCACAGTGCACTAGAGGGCTAGCCTTGAAATCAGGGAGACCTGAGTTTAATTTTTACCTCTGATTCGTATTGGCTATTTGACCATAAGCAAATCCCAATCTCTCAGTGCCCTAGGCAACCTTCCAAGGCTATAAATTATAGACTGACTACATCAGTGGAGAAAGTTTCTACACTGAGAGTTCTTCATAATAAGGAATTCCCTGGCCTGGACCAATAATAATAATGATAATAATTCTAAGAGCACAGAGCCCAGTTTCAGAGGATTTTATATCTTCTATTATTCTGATTTTCCTTTCCCATTCTTATTCTTTATATCTTTTCTACCAAATCCTTTCCTGTTTACAGACAATACCTTTTTGGAGGTAAGAATCATACTAGGTGTTTTCTTTGCTCTGGAAAAGTATTCCTTTCCTAAGGCATTAGTAGGATATAAGATTTGAAAAAAAGATTTGTTTGTCAAGTTAGGGTCCATAAAAAGATGTATGCTGTGACTTCTTTGGCTCTCATTTAGAGCCAGATTCTGTAAGTTAAAAACCCTATTTTACTGTGTGGAAATGAGAAAGATGACAGGGACTGAATATGCAGCTTGCTTCTTAATTGAGGGCCCAATGTTCTGTACTTTGGCCAAATTCCAATGGAGACTCTTTAGACCAAGGACCACAACATTGAGTCTAAATGAAAAAAGGGAAACAAAGCAAAATAGCAATCAGCCTTAAAAGATAGTAATATCATGCTTTGCTTTCATGTCAGGAGCAGGCAAAATATTAAGTAGATAAGTTAACATGAATGAGTGGGCCCAATAGTTTCTATAACCATGTTCTTAAGCTTGCTTACTGGATATTGTTGGTAAATGTAATCGACAGCTGAGGCTGGAGCCCAGCTAAATCACACTCACGATCAGCCTCACAGCTGCAGGTCACGTGAACCCATTTCTTCCCAAAACCAAGTCTGTGAAACAACAGTTAGAATGTTAATGCCCAAATTACCCAATGGACTTTGGTCAACCATTCTATACAAAGTGTTCTGGAGTTTATAAAACCTTGCTAAAAGAGAAATTCATTCTCAACGCAGCTCTCAGGGATGAAACCTTTGTGGAGAATGAGAATGAGGTGAGAGATGATTTCAGAGTGAACTGGTTTGCAGCTTGGCCTAGTAAAAGTTAGTAAAGTTTGGTCTTGCTTAGCCCTAATCAATCTTGCAGTTCCTTAAAAACCTAACAGCAAAAAAAACTCCCCAGAGAACCTAAAAAAGCTAAGATGGCTAATTTTGGAATTGTCAGGGAACTTAACCACTTTAATTGATGTTATAGTATTTTGTCTGTGGAGTATTATTATTTTTTTGAAGCTGTGTGTCTTGAGGCTTCATCATTTGCAAATAAAGAACACCTGATGGTAATTAGTGCATCACAATTTTTTTCCCTGAATTAGTTCAAATTAGAGAGTGGCAAGGTAGATTTAAAAATATATGTAATTTCTTAACCTTATCCGGAGTAAGAAAGACCTGGGCTCCAATTGCATCTCTGATACTCACTAGCTGCGTGTCCATGGACTAGTCACCTAAGCCTCAGGCAGCTCTCTAAGATTACAGATTAGAGGTTGGGATCTGCTTCAAAGTCCTTAATATTATCCATGTAGTTCAAGTCATCACAACACAGATACTTCAACCAGGAAATAGGATGTCCAAATCAGGGAGCATTGGACAAATTTTTCCAGAGGCAAAGGAAGAATCACTGCATTTAAATGAATGCTACATTTACTTCCTGAGCACCTATTACGCATACTAGCATGGCCAGGGAAATGCAATTCACTGAGCAGAGAAGATGCCCTGAAAAAGCCATTCAGTTGTTGGCCGTCTGCCCCTGGATAGTCCAAGTAGGTACTGAGTAGCAGAGACACATGGACAAACATTGTAGACTAAATTCCAAGAACCACCCAATACCTTAATCTGTATCCTTGAGGAAAATTGATCTTAAATGCAAATTTTTTTTTCAATATCCAAACTTCAGTCTTTACATAAGTGTTATTTTGTAGGAGTATTAATTTGCTAATGGTGTTAAAATGACCTGTTCATTTAGAAAAATTAAGATCTAAATAGGTGGAAACTCCATAAGGCTCTTAAATTTCTATAATCCTCTTTTATGGGATTTACAGATTTGAGATATTTTCCTACTGACTTCATAACATCTTACTGTTGCTCTGACTTGGAAAGGTGGGGAAAAAGGACTCTAATGCTAAAATCCATCTGTCCTCCCACCACAAACATCCTTAGCATCTTTAGAGATCATTGACCCAAGGTTGTTGGGAATTCTAAAGTGCTTCTAGTTTGAACTAAGTACCGCAGAATAACATAGCATTCACTCTTTTAAAAATTTCCAATAGGGAGAATTTTTTTTAGAAGTTTCAATCCCATTCTGAGTCTATCTTCCTAGAATCTGGAAGCAAATGAGTTATTCTGGGACTGAATTAGGAACTTTCCTGATATAGAATGTATTACCTGAAAAGTAGCAAAATATTCGATATGTCACTACTTCAAGGATCTATGCCCTCATCAATGGAGGCATCCCTCTACTGACACAGACCACTATTTATACATGCCTCATTCTTCATGAGTTCCTGCAGCTGAAGAAAAATTCAACGGGTGGCCAGTCTTATGGTGATAAGCCTCTCCAAACTTAGCAAGCCTCGTTTTATAATGGCAGACATAAAATCCATTATTGGTCCTATTTTCAAAGCTTTGCCAATTTGGTAAAGAACTTATAGAGCTTGAACTCTGGCCTTCAAGAGGTCAGGGTTAAATAGGATATCATAATAGAATTATGATGAAGGAGCAATATATGACTAAGGAAGACCTTGCTGCTCCCCAATATAAATTCTAAAATCAGTTCTGTTCCTTGTGTTCCACATTCACCCAGTCTAATTTTCCTTGAGATGGGTTTAGCTCTATGGCAAAAACTCATCCAAAGGGAACCAATATTTTAGGAATTTGGTAGCCATGGCTTATATCTGGTGTATTTCTCCAAAAGTTTTGCAGACTAAGTTGACAGAAGGTATGTCTGAAATCTCAACCTTCAGTTTATTCAATTCTGTGATATGTCTAGAAGTCACTGAGAATTATCCTGTTGTTTTCATCATATCCCATCAATATTATGTCACATGTTATCTGCAGAAGGGTCTTATGACATTTCCCTGAAAGGAAAAGGACTATGTTTTGCCTTTAATTCAAATACGAGATCTTCTTAGAGAAAGAATGCCAGATTGATCCAGGAACCACGAGCAGTGGAAATGAGGTGCGTGTCCCTCCTTTTGGATTTTTGTGTGCTTGCCCTTCAGAGCTGTAGAAGATCCTTAAAAAACAATTAACCAGTTTCTGTTGGTCCTGCCTGATGCCAGTAGAAGAACTCAGCTCTTGTAACCATGGAGCCAGTTTCACAGAGCAGTGTGGCAAGTGGCAGGCTCATCCAGCCTCCTAAAAGTGTTCTGTAGCTTGCTGGAGATTGCAGCTTTTATGAAGTTGTCTATGCATTTTTCAGTGTACAGCTTTCCTTTTTTGTGTATTGTATGCTCCCTTCTCTATTGTGCCCTGTGCCCTTCAAGGATGCTCAGCCTCGACTTTCCCACCTACTGCATCTACGAGACATTGATGCTCTAAGCAATCAACTCTACCATGCCCTTTTGCTGAGTTGAAAGCATTTTTTTCTTTTCTAAACTACCTAATTTCATAGGTCATATAAGTGAACTACCTCTTAAACCAGCTTTTTTTTCCCCCTAGCTATTCTATTTCCCTCAAAAAAAAATCTGTTTGTCTCTTCTCCTCGCTTCTTGGAATCTTAGAGGGAGCCAAAGTCTTAGAATCACAGATTGGTCTTCTATCTCAAGGTTTTTGACAGGAAATGATCTGGCATCATTCCTGAATCCAGATTCCTACTAGTATTGCTTAGCTTTGAGCCTGGGGAGGGAGAAAACATTTCTATAATTTGAAATTTTATGTTTTTTTAGTTCTGTCTCTCTGTCGGTATTCCTTATATCTTCTCTGGGACTTACATTCTAAATCCTTCCTGTACGCTAAGATTGGGCAGCTTTGTCAGGTATTCATACAAATGCTGCATATCAGTAGTAGTAGTAGTAATACTACTATCAATAATAATAGCTTGTTTTCATATAGTGCTCTAAGTTTGCAAAGTGCTTTACAAATATTATCTCATTTGATCTTCAAAACAATCCTGGGAGATAGGTGCTATTACTATTCCCATTTTACAAAAGGGAAAATGGGGACAGAGAGAATTTAAGTAATTTGCCCAGGATTACTCAACTAATAAGTATTTGAGGCAGGATTTGAACTCAAATTTTCTTGACTCCAAGCCCAGCCCTCTATCCACTGTAATATGGGGCTGATTATAGCTCTTGAGGGTAAAGATCTCCTTATGGAAGATTAATAGAGCTGGATTCTTCTTCGTGATAAGTCATGGAGTCTTGACTGTGTGTTCTTACGGAAAATCCCTTCATCTCTCAGTGGCTCAGTTTCTTTACATATGAAAAAAAGCTTGATTCCCATTGAAAAGGGATTATTAAATGCCCCCATGGTGACAGGATGGAGAGCACTATGTTATTCAGCCAAGACTGGGATTTCTCAGCTATTTGCTCTACTTTTTGTGGTATTTGAGGTGTTTATTAGAGGGACAATTTTAGAAATTCTCCAGTTTGGAAGACTTGGGCAAGCAGTCAGACTTGACGATGATAGTCCTATGTGGAGAGAAAAGGGTTGGCAGTAGTAGGGATCTTGGGATTGAGGAACAAGGAACAAGGGCTATTTCATCAAAGAAATGGGAAATTTAAACCACAAACAAGGTTTTTTCTCCCCAAATGCCATGACTAGAAGCCTCTGGATACCTTAAAACAAATCTAAAACCCAAATTATACTATTCCAAGGCCACAAGCCACAAAGGTTCAGAGCCCAGGTGATACAAATAGCATAAAACCCTCCCGTAAGGAACAGCATCTCCTTAAGCCACAGTGAGGTCCTTGTGTCCAGGGGTGGGAAGAACTACTAGGGGCATGGCTCTGGGCAAGGGAGCCAACCCTATCTTTCATGTTACACAGGAATATTAGCTGTGGCAGATGTGGGCTGAGTGGTAAATGAGGTAGACTGCCCCTCCCATTGGTGGGTGACACACTTCTAGGTCATTTCTCTCCAGCATATCTGCTTATCACAATGAGAAGCTAAATACTGGGCTAGAGGAACATAAACTGGCCAGGAGATCACATAGAATAACCCAAGACAAGGGAAAATATATGGGTTAAAGACACAAATCTGAGAGGACACTGGAGTAAAGACTTAGGACAGTTAGACTCCAGTGTTGGGAAGAGAAAGGAGGAAGCCCCTCCCTTCAAGTCCTTGCACGTAGTGTGCGCTTGATAAGCATGTGTTGACTTGAATTGAAGCTTCCATATTTCTTAAGTAGATGTGACACTGTTACACAGCTTGGCTGAGTATAACAGGAGGAATCAGGATGGCCTTCAGTGAGTTTTATGACCATGATCCTTGCAGTAGATAGAACTGATACCCAGTTGGATTAATGAATCAGTGTACTTCAGGGATCCTCACTAAAGGGACCCATGCTATTTTGAATGTTATGATATTCACCTTAATAATTTGGCTTCAGGGAGAAGAGGAATGTGGCCCCTTGGGATTTTTCAGCCCCGTAGCAAAAAGTTCTCTGGGAAAAGTCATCATCTACAGAGGTTTGGTTAGGCTAAATGAAAGGGTAAAGTATTTATGTGCATAATTGAATCCAAAGTCAATGGAGACCTCTCAGATTTCTCTAGAGAATGAAAAGTGTATCTCCAGTTTGTTTGAGAATGAGTATTGTTTCATCTTGAGGACATAATGTACAGAGCACTGACCCTTGAGTCAAAGAAACCTGAGTTCTAATTTGACTTCAGATATTAGCTGTGTGACTCTTGAGCAGGTCACTTCACTTCTGTCTGCTTTAGTTCCCTCGACTATAAAATGGGGACAATAATAGCATCTACCTCCTGGGGTTGTGATGATCAAATGAGATAATATTTGTAAAATATTTAGCACAGTGTTTGGAACATAGTAGGTGTTTAATAAATGTTCCTTCTTTCTTTCCTTCATGGGTCGGGAGGTTTATGGTGGGCATAACAAGGCTGCGGCAAGTTACTAACAATGACTTGTGTGAAAGAAGTGGCATAAAAGATACAATCCAGGAGATGCATAAAAAGAAAATGAGGTGGGCTGATCATAGAGTGATAATGGATGGATAATTCAAGTGCTACACTCTACATATGTAATGTTAAAAAAAAAAGACCTATGTAATGTTAAAAGAGAGAAAAGCCTCCAAGTGTTAAGCAATCCTCATGGAGGATTTATGAGAGGATATAGAGAAGAGTCATAGGATGAGCAGGAATGGATTGCAATCTTCACCCCTGACGCGATGACATCACAAATCCATTGAATTATTGAAGTAAGCCTAAGGAAGGAAGTCAGGAAAGGAAATCAAGTCAGGGAAATGATGTTGAAACAGGACGTTTGTCTTTCTTAGAAATTCGATTCATTCAAGTGAAGTCAACAAGCATTTACTAAGTGCTTACATGTGCCAAGCACCAGGAATACAAACATAAGCAGAAGCTTATGCCCTTCAGAAGCTAAAAAGGAAGAGATAGAGGGTGAGCAGAGAAAGTCAGGGAGATTCAGGAGCGCAGCCTGGAGAAGAGTGAAGACGTGACTGGCCTGGGCAACCTCCTTAGAATGAAGATTCTGAGAGGAATGAGGTAATCGAGATGAAGAGGAAATCTCCAGTGTGAGAAGGCCAGAGATGGAGCATACTCCCAGGGTGAAAAGGTTTCTAGGGCATTCCTAGTTGAGAAAGTCTGGAAGATTTTCATTCAGATAGTTATGAAATATCAACTATATGCAAAGCACTATGGAGGTTAGCACTCTCTGTGTATAGATAGAAAATGATGTACAGTCAAGTGATTTTTCAATCCCACGAAGTATGCATTGCAATTTTGGAGAGGCTGGAGATAAGGAGACAGAAAGGTCATCACAGCAGCCCAGGCGAAAGGTGATAAGAACCCAACCCGGGGTGGTGACCATAGAGGCAGAGAAAGTCCAAGGAGTTTATGACAGAGATTTCAGAGCCAGAATAGGCAGGATTTGTCAGTTGATTAGATGTGAGGGAGAGAAGGGGGAGAGCCAAAGTTTCAAAACTGACCTGAAGAGTGGTAGTGTCACCAAAAGAAAAAGGCAGGTATGGAGGAAAGGATGATAGGATCACAGAGGCCACTGACTCCAACTCCATCATTTTACAGACGAGGAAACAGGTCTGGAGAAGCTAAATGATTTTGCCCAAGGTCACACAGAGAGCAAGCATCTCAAGTAGGATTCAAAACGAGGTCCTCTGTAGGAGCAGTACTCTTTCCATTGGTTTGGGAAAAGAGATGAATTCAGTCTGGGGACATTTTGAGTTTGAGGTGCTAACAGAATATCAGGCAGAAATGCCATAGGTCTTCGTTGCTCATAGGATCGATAATCTATTTAGAACTGAAAGGGCCCTTGGGAATCATTGTGTTAGACCTCTTCAACTTATAGACAAGGAAACGGCTCCCCAGAGATTAAGTGGTTTGCTTAGGGTCACAATCTGACCTTTCTGACTCTATCTACTGAGTTTCCTAATCCAGGATAGGAACTGAGGGGAAGGGGAAGGGTACTCTAATTACCTAAAAGTGATCACTGAGGCGTTAGAAGTGGATGAAATTGGCAAGGGAGAGAGTGTAAAAATCTCTAGAGCGCAGACAATAAAAGCCCTGGGACTGAGTCTAGAGAAGTAGACAACTGACCTTCCCAAGTTAGCCTGCTTCCTAACTCAGCCCTTCTTAGATCTCAAGCAAGCATCTCTCTTTCCTCCTTCGACAGCACTGTTTATGACAGTAGCAGGGAGCTTCCTCTGAAGAATAGTTCTAACAAGGTAATACAGTGATTTCTCAATAGAAAAGAATGCTTGTGGAGTCTCTAGGTAGAATGACAATCTCTCTTCCCTTCTTGGAACAGTATTTATCCCCACCAGTGGTAAAACCCTCTCTAAGTTTGAAACATTCCTAGATCTGCATAACCTCAAGACCTCCCCAAAAATAAGATGGGAGAGACCCCTACTCAACACATGGAGTCCCATCAGGAAAGATTTGACTCTGGTTTAATTTCCACTTTTTTCCCTCCTTTTTTAAGAGCAAGACATTTCCTACGCAGGACTGAGTATGGGTATGTGGCCGGTTGGCCAACTGTGCATGTTCCAGCAGAGTGATCTTTGTGATTCTGTTTGTGATTTGTGTCTGTAGTAATTTTGATCTTTTCTACTTGCTTTTCTGTGCTGTTGCTATGGGTACTTTCCATGTCTTTGCAGTGGGTCTTATATGTGGAGTAATTCTCTCATTTTAAATCAAAATTAACTTACCAATCAGACATTCACTGAATGAAAGTTTTAAGCAGTAGTATATTTCCCAAGAGTCTCTCTCCTAGGCTCACTATTGTCCGGGATGTGAAGCCATCTCCTAAAGATGTGCTGATGAAGGTTGGGTGAGCCAAAGATAAACTGCTGATTGGGTGTATAACCTTGGGAGTGGGCTGCTCACTGTTCTGTGGATGCTTGAAATTCTGCTTTGTAATCTTTTACTAGTAATCAGGCGTGGGAATTGCAGAATCTTATTGAATCTGGCAAATAAGCCAAAGTAAAAAAAAACACAATACATAGTTCTGCAGTATCGTTAAGTCTGTAGTTGCCTCCTTTCAAATGCCTTACTAGAGGATTCTAATTGTGTCCTGCTAAGACAAGGCACTGGAATCAGATGTTGTTTTCCCAATTTATTTCTCTGTGAGTGATTTTACAACTGTGATTCATCTTCATGTCTATTTATAGTAAGATTAAGTGGAGGGGAAGGAAAAGACAAGGTTTAAATGCTGTGTGTTGATTCTTTCATCACCAGGAGTCATCCTCTCTGTGGCAATAGCTGGTGTTTTAGGAGTCTCCATTATCCTTGCATTATCAATTTGGCTTCTTCGACGGAAGAAGAGGTGAGCTGGTTTGGTGTCATCATGTTCTGATACTATGGAAAGGCCAAAACAGATTCCATTTCTC